CATACTTCACGCAGTTCCCTAAAAAAAAAAAAATCCAACTCGCGAAAATCTCACCATATAACAATTGGGAAATCTTAAGCATTATGCAATTTTTAGTTTTTTCCCTTTAATATTTTAAAATCTTTCAGATTAAATTACATTATATTTTACAAAGGAAACCATTTTGGCAATTGTATGAAAATAATCATTCTAGCAGTTTTATAGAAGGGAAAGGCGAATTGAACCTAAGAATGGTGATTTATTTTATGAATGTTTATGAAATCGTAAAGATTTCATAGAAATATTTTACTATCGAAAAAATTTAATTAATGGTGGCAGAAGCGAATGGGCGGATCAGTTTAGTTCATGTCATCCTCATTCATCCTTCTCTAACTATACATTTCCCATTCAATGCAAAAAGAAGTTTGTCACATTTCTTTAATAAATTAGTCGAAAATAATGGTAAAATTTAGGATATAAATCAAAATTTCATGAAATATCACGTTTAGGCAACGTAGGCACGTAAAATTTAAAGAGTGCTTAGGACGCATTGTATCGTAGCAACAACCAATGGAGGCTCGGCGGTTTCCCACTGTCTTGCTTTATTGCAAACTAACGGTATTGATACGGTCGTTGATTGAATATTTACAAAATTCACTTGATTCACCGTTATACCAGCCATCAATTGTAACGCTGGCGCTATTGTTGGTTGTCTACAACTAAAGTTCTGAACATTTCAAGTACCAATTCAAGTTTTGGGATAAATTTTTATTCACCGTTTAATTTGAATTCTTACTCAAATATGGTCTCGATTAAATTTCGTCCTAATTCTGTTATCTAAAATTCATTTACAATTTATAACTTTAAAGCATGAAAAAATTCTACTTCGTCAAGTTTTCACATGTATTCCATGAATTTTTGCATTTTAAGATTAGAAGAAAATTAAAAACTTCTTACGTGCAAGTTGCAATGGCTAATGAACGACAGGTATTGCTGCTGTAGGTGAATGACATTATGCCATTCGATAGATTTGTGTTATTCGTTGGTGAAGCCAACAACGGTTGACAACAAACTGAAAACATCCGAACTATATGGAAATATTTAAATAGAGGGTTAATTAGTCCAGCATGCTGTCTAGTTGTAGTCGACAAAGTTTCTAAACAAGACATTTGGTATCAGCTATCAAGTTTCTATTTAATTCATTTGATATGACTTTAAAAAAAACATGCCAGGGAGAGTTAGACTTGGATCTGGAATTGGAGTTGGCGGTCGAGTTGAAGTTGGAGTTGCAGGTCGAGTTGAAGTTGGAGCTGGAGCTGAAGTTGGGGGTCGAGTAGGAATTGGAGTTGGAGTTGCAATTGGTGGAGTTGCTGCGCAAGAGTAAGCCACGGGTAATTGCATGGCTGCCAAAAGGGTGATCGCAAATATCGTTAACGAAAAACTATTCGACTGAAATGGAAACAAAAAGATATAAATTCTTATTTTTTAAATTATTTGAAATCAGTTGTAGTTTTTTATAAAATTGCATTTGAAATGATAAGAAGCATGGAAGTTCAAGTTCAAAAGGTTGGGTATCAATCTTTTCAAATGTGAAGAATTACTTTCCAGTGAACCAACTGTTATTAATATAAATTCCTCGGCTTAATGCATCAAAAAATAGGGGATAGAGTGGTGTCACTCTTCTCAACCTTATCCTTCAGGTTAAGAATCTAGGAGTATCTTGAAGTCAATGCAAATAATCAATAACAGAGAATCATTATAATACTACTACTTGTCAAACATAATGATGAGTACGATCCTTTAAAACAATGCGTACATTTACCGCCATCGGTAAACTAAATTAAACAGAATAAGTGAAAATGAGACTGAACTCATTGATAAGTATAACATTTTTAGCCGATTTTACTGATATACAAATAAGAGAAAATTAGTAGTTTTAAAATATGTGAACAAGTGATGATGGCATTTTTGGAATTAATAAAAAATGTCATATTTTTGATGAAAGATCATGAAGACATACACATACACTCTTAAGATTATGAAATTCAGGAAAAGAACAAATGGGAAATAAAATGAAAGGGAAACAATAAAGCAATGAAATTAAATACTTCGGAAAAAGAAAAAACTGATGAGGATGAAGTGAAGGAAAAAACGACAAATTAAAATTGTCATGATTAAAAATTATGACCAAAAAATCTCTTTCTCATTATCACTTAGAAAAATTGAAATTACAATCTGTGTTGGACTAAATCTTTGGGAGATATTTTACTTTTTCATTACCAATTATGTAAGTGATTAAAATTAAATTTTATTTGGTTTCACCAAAAAGGATGACTTCAAAATCTGCTTGTATAAAAACTTTTTGCTGGATAAAACGATTTACATGGAATCGTGGGATCAGATTCTCTAGTAGATCCAGTAGGAAGCATTTTTTGCTTCGTGCAAACGATATGTAAAGGGTATGAGTTTTCAAAGGAAAGCTAACGAGTTGAGATTAATTATTAAACCATTTCAATTCAATCTATCCGCTGACTGTGTGTTCCAAACATGATTTTAATGTAAAATGAGTGTAATAATTAAATAAATTAAAATTAGGAAGATGAAATTGTTGCAGAAAATGAAAGAATTTTAATTTGTAAATTGGTGTAAGTAATAAGGAAAGAACTTACAGATGCATTCTGATCAGGCGATATAATGAAAAACGCAACAAAGTTATCCATAAGTAGATAACATAAGCAGAAATACAGTTTAAATGACTACTTGGGAAGACGGTTGAATGCGTTTTGATTACCAAATACTAATATTTAGGCATTACTCAAAAGTGGTTTGAGGTCAATGTACATGGAAGGCAGGAGATGAGATTTCACCTGGTAGGTATTTCGTACCGCTATTATAGGATTTACGTAAGATATTAGGCAAATAAAAATGACATTTCTATGTCCTTGAATTATGTCACCCACTATTTATGTGCAATAAGCATTCACAATATATCGGCAGTATTTACCTTTTCTTCCGTCCTCTTTTGGCCCTTATACTTCTTTTATTTCGTTTTATTCACATATCATCTCTAACTCATCCATCTTTTCTGTGCCAAATATTACCTCCATCTCATTTCATCATGATTATTCCTCCATTCCATTTAACATCTCTCAAGAAAACATCAGGATATAATGCTGCATTTTTTTTTCTTTCCGGAACAGTCTTATCGAATGTCCTTAATACGCAACACTAATTCACAGTGATTGTCGTGATCGCTCCGTTTTTAGTGAAAAATGTACGGATGTAATTGGGATACAATCACATGGTACTACGATATGATAATCTCTACTTGTTGTTGCAATTGTTAGATAATACAAGCCATGGCGAATATTTACAAGTAATTCGTATTTTATATAATTTTTCTGGAAACATCGTCGAGATTCTTGATGTGACCCTAATTAAGAAATATTCGGGAAATGCTCCACATTATCGAAAACGAACCCAGTAGCTACTTTATCATTTAAAGTCAATTTTGGTTCATCCGTTAAAATGATATTTTAAATTTTCACTTTTTTATTTTTATTTTAATTTTTCGAACTATAATATACCAATAAAATTTAAACGATGAATTAAAAATAACTGAATTATATTGAAGCACGGAAAAACATATTTTTTGGGACTTAAAACTAGAAAATATTACACCATGTTGACTAGTTTTATTCAACTGGTTTTTACCGATAATTTTAATTAAATTCTGGGAAAAAGTCGGAAAATTATACGACTTAGGAAGTAAATAAAAGTATGAAATTTATTTCCTAATAAATATCCTGAAATGATTGGTTAATTTGTTTCCTAATTTGATTGAAAGAAAAGAATATTATCATTCAATTCTTTTCAGGGTAAACGCAAGCAAGAAAATGATTTGGTTTTGTAAGTGATACTGAGCAAAAGGGACTTTCCGGTATACAGTAGTTTAATTCGATGATGACTATAAAGGCTTCCTGTATTTTCTGTACATATAGAAAAAATGAAAATAAAATTAACATGAAACAGTGAAGAAAGAAAGAGAAATAACTGCCACTATTCCGGATACAATAGAATTTTTATCTATTTCAGACGAAAATTTGATCTAGCTGTAAAAAATTTTTTTCAATCATTTTTTGTTGTTAATGCAGAAATATTTTTAAACTTAAAATTCAAAATCTTGAATCATCCTTAAAATTAACGAGATCTCCTACAAGCTTAAAACTTTCCCAAAAATTAATGTGGAAGTTTTTTCCAGACAAGTTTTCGCTCCAATTTCGACAAATTTCAATAAAGTTAGTTAACAACTTTTAAAAGTCGATTAAATTGCTGGCGAAATTATCTGAAATATAGATTATAGCGCATCTGAAATATAGATTATAGCGCATCCTCTCTTCTTGAATAATTCCTAATGGTTCCATTGGATCAATGTGATAACCCAACCATGGAAATGAGTATCCAAACAAATCTTTTCAAAAATCTTTTCAACCATGTTTAATCAGTTTTGAAGGAGGATCATGATATTATGATCACTTTTTTTTTTAAAAAATAACGAACTGAAATGGCTTACTGACTGTTGGAGGATATCAAAAAAGGATGTACGATATCACAGCAAAGTTGAACAACAGTTTGTTGCTAAATAATGATAACATAACAGTGATCAGCATACAAATTTTACGTTTTATCAATGTTAACGATGAACGAAAATTATTAAAAAACAAAATTACTGATGAGATGTATTGTGGTAATATGCAAAGTCCTTACTAACTTTCATATCTTCTTTGCTACATTATTTCCCGAGATACTTTCTACTAAATTTGTTTGAAAATCTTACACACATTATAAGCGGTAACTTTTTTTGTAATCATTGTGTGCAAATTTGTTTGATTTGAATATATCACCAGTTTGTTGTGTTACACTGCATTTTCTTATCATTGATAATGTGATGTGTATGAGGACAGCGTACACAAAGATCAGTTTCATCTGAACCATGTCAGTAGTATGTAACGTAAGAATGAGAAGATACTGCTGATGAAATTGTATTTGGAACTTAGACGAATGATGCTTATAAAAATATTTTTGATCGCTATTTATTGGTTTAAAAAGTGATATCAGTGTTTAGTAAGTCGTCGAGAGTAGGGATGGAAGAGCAGTTACAGTCAACACAACTGAAAGTCCAAAAAACAGAACATATTTATTAGATCAACAAAGCGTAATCCTGAGTTGTTTGCATCGAACAATTCAAAAATGCAGTATGCCATGCGTTTTTCAAGCATATTAAGAAATGGTAGTGCCATAAACTTCACAGTTCTGAATTGTTAATTTGTTTAAATTCTGATTTTTTTTGAAAATTGAGAAGGTATCAATGTATGCTTCAGGACACCTGAAGCAACATCATAATATTTGCTGATTCGGAAAAATTATTGTAATGAGCACCTGAAATGATTGCTGAGTGGAAAGAAAAACCTTATCAGAAAAAATATTACTATCTTGATATTCGAAAATCTATTGTAGTCCAATATGTTCATAAAATTTAGAGATGCAAACTTTCTGGACCACTATAATCTCTAAATTTTAAATAGATGTAATACACGCGCTATATTACTTCAACTATCAATGTTAGAGTTTAATATCTCAGGAGAAACTTGTGAATCGAACAACATGCAGATTAGAAAATTTGATTGTTTACGTGGAATTTTCAGCTTTTATCCGCCGTGCCATAAGTTTTCCAAAGCCAATACTTATGTCATCTCAGTGATGTAAAGTGATTGAAGTACGATATGAAACTGTAAATTTATAGCTGATCAAAATACAGTATTATAAACAGTAAATAATTAGATGTCAGGATAGTTAATGCAATCAACTTTCAACAAAGCTCGAAGGAATTCCTGAATCCAAATATAGGAACATTATAAAATGTCAAAAAATTGAATAAGAAGAGATGCTCCCATTAAACATCGAATTGCTTCGAAGATTAAATTCGATTATTAAGTTAAATTACATCAATTTCTTATATTTAAATAAAAAAAAGAAACATTAAGAGAAGCCACTGATTATGCGAACAACGGGATCAGAATTGGATAATGTTAACGCCAATCGTTGACAACTTGATGGAAAATGATCGAGGGAGTCTGAAAGGATGTGCCAATCGTAGATATCTGATGCATGCCACGTAACATACTGTGAGATCAATGCAAGCGCTGAATCAGCTTCTTTTCTTTCGCAGCTTCCTTTCACTATCACTGCAAATTTTATGTAGAATTCAAGCAAAAGCCTAAATCAATAAAATATAAATTTCAAAAGTTGCTGTGATTACCATAACTGTAAAAGATATCTAATTCACCAGTTCAGTACGTCTGATGTAGACCAGTTACTTTTTAGAGGCTTATCAAGCGACAGTATCTCTTCAACTTACTTGAAGTTTTCAGAAAATAAGTTTCTTCTAAGGAAATTGTTTAACCTTGTCAAGATATCTGAACAAGGTTTTACAGGTTTACGTAAATTTCAGTATATGTGCGAAACAGTGCGATATTTTTTTTACTTACATTCTTCGCATTGCAGATAACATGACTGAAAAGAACAAAGTAGACCAAGTTCCCGTTCATATTTGCTTGTTTCTTTTTTAGTGAACACCTGAGAAAGATTATAAATAAGCGTACTTGCAAGATTTCATGTTTGGGGATTAATTGCTGGATCATTTACCGCAAAAATTATAAGACCTTCTTCTTCCTTGGAATGCTTGAATTTAAACCTTTTCGCGGGACTTCTTGCACCAATTTTTTCTGTTCCATTAAATGGAAGAAAGGATTGTATAAATTACTTTTTTTACAACCTTCAAAAATACGTTCACGTTCATGAAACAAGTTGAAAATTTCATTGAAAACTGGAATACTGGAGATCGAAGCTATCTGACACGTGCTTGATATTTGGGTTTAGAGTGGATCATCTTTTCTCATGAGGTCATTCTGTCATTCCAGTAACACTACAAATAAGCAAGAATTGACGAATTTTGTTAAAAATGCTTGCCTTGCCCGGAAATGCTCGCTCTCTGTTTTCGATATTCTTCAATGCTTCCAAGTGGCATGTCTGATCACATTTCAGAAACGTTAGAGGTTCCGTCTTTTCCAAGCAGCTTCGCGCTTCCAAAAAATGATGCTTCTTGAAACGGCATAGGAAATTAGATGGTGAAAATACTCGAACTGCAGACTGAAAATTTTCGTGAATGAAACCTTCCAGCACTTCAAAATTGAAGCAGAAATCAAACATTCCTGTTAATGATTTCTACGGGATTTGCATCTGACCAAAATAAGATACAAGTCTAAATGGGAAAAATTCGAGAGAATGATGAACAAAGGAAACATCGGTGTAAATTATGATGAAAAATTCACTCTCTTTTCTCTTGTTATATTTTTTCTATATTGAAATAGTGTATTCACTGTAATCATACCAAATCAAAATATTCTTAATATTCTTAGTATTACGCATTCGACAAACAGTATTTTTTGCTCCCTTTCCTATTGCTGACAGCATGTAGTGTTATTAAGAAGATGCTCGGCTTTTATAAATGAAGATTTAAAAAATCACTATCTTCAACCCACCACCAGACATTTGGAGACATTATTTACGATGTCGATCATTTGCTAGAGCACTTGTAAAAGTATCGCACAGGTGCAATAAACGTAAGACGAGGTCACAGTCGTCAGTTCACTTCAATGGAAATGGAATCATTCCATCGAGAAAACAAAGGTATTTATATATCAAGATAGTCTGTCAGTTCGGATGGTGATGGCGTAATAGCTAAGTGGTATCGCATTTTTCATTCTTTGCATCCGGCCAACATTCTGTTAACGTAAAAATAGTATTTTAGAGCATAGATAAGAGAACTACCAAAGTTCGCATTGTTAACACATGCGAAGTATATGTAAGAGAATGGAAGAGCGATTAAAGGAGAGAGGAGGTACTACCACCCATCGGTCATTTTCCCGATGAAATTATATGTCCAAAGAAGATAAAATCTGCCAATATGAAATAAAAGCTACAATCCAACTTTTTAAATTAATGAATTTCGTACAGAAAGTAGAAACTGACCTGATCATTACATTCATTAATGTAGCACTGAGTGCGTTGTTCTGATATATTGCAGTAAGTAACGAATCCAGCACGATCCAGTACTGCGGGATGTAAAGGGAAATCATAAAAATCAGTGGTGCTCAAGTTGAATTCATGTTCAAATACACTTTTCCACTCATCATTGCAATCCTGTAAATTGAATAGTCACAATTTGCACATATCAGTAGAACTATAATTTAGTGGTTTTATCACAATCAGTGACAAATTAATGTCATCAAAATTTAAGTAGCAATAAAACCCGCTCAATCTTACTTTATAGTCGCAAAATATGATGCAGTCCTCGACATTCTAGATTTCATAATGTGAATAACTTCTAGTAAACAGATTTGATGAATTAAGGCACCTCAAATAAAGGTACTTAAAAAGACACCTCAAGCGAAGTCAACTCAAGATGTCGTATAAGTTATATCCTCCGCATAAGTTATCACTTAATCTTATATTTGTTACTGATAATAAAGCTGTCCTACTTCTTACTAATCAACCGAAATGCTCTTGAAGTTACCTGGAAACACGTGGCATCGGTAGAATTCACCTCGGAAACATACATAAAATCGCGTTTCCATCGGAACTGATGACTAAGCCTGAACTGGCCAATGATAACAATAATGATGAGAAAGAAGCGGCTGAATGGTAATGTACATAATAGTAAACTAATAATGCTCATTATGAGCGTAACATTCATCATCCAACGAACTACTCCCCTCCCCAGCAATGTAGGTCAATCCCCAAACGACGCCCTCCACGCGTGTCAAACCCAATTCTTCTCATTCGTATTCATTTAAATGTGCCTATTTATTCTTATCTCATCCTTCATTCGTTCAAAAATATTATGCAACCGTGGAATACAAAAACTGATCGGCTCCAAAAACTGCATCCCACATATAAATTAATAGAGAAATGGTCTCGATGGCACACAATCGAACACATTTCCAAGATCCCAAACTAAAAAAAAAAAAAAAAAAAAAGCAGACGATTTCGGTTAAAGTTAGACTGTTGGATCA